TCTCCCTGCACGGGAGCACTGTGGAGTGGCCAGTCAGGAGGGGTCCACTCTCTCTGCTGGGCTAGGAGCCCATGAGGCCAACAGGCAGGTTCACGTTGGGAAACGCAACCTCCCTGTGCCCACCCCAGGTCATGGCACATGGCAGAGCTCCGTATCAACCAGGAACGAGTGAATAAAAGGCATCTGAGTCCCTGTTGGCCCAGTCCTGTCTCTCCTGTTGGCAGAAACATTTCTGGAACCACACCCAAGCTTCCCACCCTACATGACTCTTCCATCTCCTCACAGCACCCTCGGGAGCTTCCCCAGGGGACAGCACAGGAAGCAGAGGACCCAACACCTGCTGCTGGAACAACGCCTGGTCCATGGAAGATGAGGCCTGGGGCACGAGGCTGACGTCATCAGCTGCAGGGACATAGGTCCCTCCAGACTCAGTTGTATCACTTGACAATGGGGATGTGTCAGGGCAAGGGACCACAGGGGCCTTTTTACTCTACCCTGCAGCACCCTATTCCAAGGTGACAACTTTCAGAGCGCTCAGGGCATGCTCGAGCTGTGGCAGGCTGCAGGAGGGAACTTGACTCTGAGATGCAGGGATCCCACTTACTGACTCCGACACAGTCTGCACAGAGGCACTGGCCGGGGGGAGATGGACAGGTACATGTGAGACTAGGCAGGAAGGCAAGGGATAAAATCACAGCACCCTTGCATGGCCACACAAGGAGCCTGGAGCCAGCGCCTGGAGGGGTGGGGCCAAACCGCCCAGAGGACACTGCTTGCTGGAGAAGGGGCCAGGTGGGGCTGGGGACAAGGCCCTGCCAGCAAGATCGTCCCACCTGTACCCTGGCTTTGCTGCTTAGCCTGGCAAGCCCAGGTCCTGGAGGCCCTCAGGAATTCCATTTGTGCTGAGGCTGCCTGGACAGAGGGGTGGCTCAGAAAGTTGTGCACGTGGGAGAGAAGCAGGGTGGCCTTGGTCAGGCAGAGGGAGGCTGGTGGCCAGGCTGGGACCCTGGGTGCAGAGCCCTGAAGGTGAGGAGCGGGTACGTGCTGGGCCTCAGTATGAAGCTGTAGACCATCTTTATATCCTCTTGGGTTAGTGTCTCCACCTGGAGGTGTTTCAGCACCTAGGACAGAAGCTGGGCTTCCATCTGGCCTGGTCAGCAGCCCATGGACATGGGGGAGTCTCCTCAGACCCTCAAAGTTGCAGTGACTATGCTGCAGGAGGGCAGCAGGCTGGGCCCCAACCATTCCTGACCAGCCCCACCTTACAGCCCAGGCCTTGTCCAACCCCCACTACCCTGTACAGGCTCCACCCAACTCCCCCAGTCCCAGCCTGAGCCTATTTAGCAGCAACATCGCCCAGATCTACCCTCCTCACCATACCAACTCCTGCCCAGGACCTACACCGCCTCAGTCTAGCCCAGGTTCTCCCAGTACCCGCCCTGCCCACTCCAGGACACACAGGCCATATCCACTCTGCCCAGGCCCATCCCACATTGCCCAAACACCGCCAATGATGCACAGACCCCACCCAGGCCCCACCCCCGCCCCCGCCCCCGCCCCGTCTGCTCACGTGGTGCAGCAGCAGCAGCATCTCTGTTTCTGCCAGGCGCCTTCCCAAGCACTGACGCATGCCAAAGCCGAAGGGCATGTACTGGAAGTTCCTGCCAGAGCCCTTGGTGTCTAGCCAGCGCTGGGGCCTATAGCGCTCAGGTCTCGGGAACAAGGCGGGGTTGCGACCCAGAGAGTAGAGAGACACACGCACCAATGTCTGTGGATGGTGCCGAGCGGGGATCAAGAAAAGACCTGGGAGGGAGGTTCTCAACTCAAGGGGTGAGGGGCTCACTCACCCCAGCTGGGATGTGATAGTTCTGCAGCACCAGGTCTGAGCTCACCACTCGCTCCAAAAAGGGGCCCACAGGGTAGAGCCTGGAGGTGGGGACATCCATAGAAAGAGTCCTCAGCTGGATGGGGCGTCTTGTGCCCTCTGCAGCCTTCCTACACAAGAACCCCGAATGTCCCCAGCCCATAGGAAGCCCAGGTCGTGAGGAAGAGCCTCTTGCACCTACTGAGCCGGGCCAAACCTCCCCTAATCTGAGCAGCCCCAAGCCCAGAAGGACACGCCCCACATTAATCCCCAGGGTGTTGAAGAGGGATTCCAGAGGAAGAAGAGGTCCCTGTTCTTGAGGGAGAGGAAGAGCAGGTGCAGGGGAATGGGCTGCTGGGCGACGCTGCTTATCAGCCCCAGCTTCTGTCTGCCGCCCCCCCAGTGGGGGCTGCTCTCCAGCAGGGGGCCGGGGCCACAGGGAGGGCTCAGCCAGCACCCACCTCAAGCTCTCCTTGATAGCCGCCCGCAGCAGGGGCAGCTCGGTGGTTGCCTTCTGGGGATGTTCACTGATGCTGTCGGCGGCGGCCAGGCTCTCCTGGCGCAGGGCCTGCTGCACGTCGGGGTTCCGAGCCAGCTCAAAGAGCGTCATCAGCAAGGGAAACACCGTCTGCAGGAGCCACGGCTGCGGGGTCAGGCCTTGCACAGGACTCAGACCCGACATACCCCTCCCAGGACAGCCCCCTCTTCGGGGTGGGGACATGCATGCCCTGAGCACGACAGAGCCCAGGAACCCCGGATCTGAAACCCTCATGACCACTTAGACCAGTTTCCCTGACTTTTTCAGAGAAAGGTGACCCCTGTCTCAACCAAGGCCCAGGTCCCCTGCAGACTCGTCAGGGGTTTCTCACAACCACCATTAGGGCAGGGGGCTGAACCTCAGCGTCATCTGGGGAGTTCTGCAGCCCCAGCTCCCTCTGCTTCCATCAGGTTCTCTCCATTGGGCACCCACAGGCCCCTCCCCCTCTGCACAGGCTGGAGCTGGTGCTGCCACCTTCTCCACAACCCTGCCCTCCCATGGGTCCCCAGCTCTGGCCCCAGGTGACAGGCACCCTGGGAAGGGTGCCCTATGCAAGCCTCCAGCTGACTCTCCATATTCCTTCTCCTGGCACACCCAGAGCTTTCCAATGGGGACTGCAGTACTGTGCATCCTGGGCCTCATCCACCTTCCTCCTGGCCCGGAGCATGGTTCCCCACACAGGTAACTGCAAACTCTGTCTCCTGAGGGGTAGCTCACATTTCCCTTCCCTGCAAATCTCAACCCTTGACAAATGGAAGGAGAAGGCTGAGGGCAACAGAAATGCGGGGCCCATAGCCTGGGGATGGAGCATGTGTGTGCCATGTGGCATTGGCAGGCGCTGCCCGGGAGGGAGGCTTGGCATCACCCTCTGTGGGTGGGGCTGGTTGCCGGCCTGACCGTATCCACGCTCCCTGCGGTGAGTTCCATCGAGTTGGCCTTGATGGCATCTAGCGACAGTTCCGCATTCAACAGGAGCTCTGCCACGATGCCCGTGTAGTGTTGAGGGCGGTTGAAGGCCAGTTCCTGATAGATTTTCTGGATACAGTTGTCACCTGTCCAGTGAGGGGGAGACCGCCGGATTCCCAAGATCAGTCCAGCCCAGCCCCAGCCTCGCTCCCAATCTCCCTGGCATGATAGGAATCCCCAGCCCCTTCCTGTGGCCTCCATTCTCTTCTGGGCAGTGCAGAGGGAGAAATTGGGCCCTTATGGCATCCCTGCCCCATAGTCCTGGCCAGGTCCATGGCCTCACCATACTGGAAGATGCAGTCCCAGGCCTCAAAATGCTCCTTCCACACCTTGGGGCTGGTCCAGCGAGACAGGCTCCTGGGCATGAACATGAGCTGGACGGTGGACTTGAGCATGACCTCCAGGGCATGGAGGAAGTTCAGGCTGGCAGAGCTGGGGCTATGGCCAACCAGGCCCAGCCGCTCTCCAAAGAGGGCTAAGTTGCTGGCTGTGGGGAGGAGGCATTGTGAGCCCAAGGCAGCCCCCAGCCTCCTGGCTGCCTCCCCGACTCCCTCCAGCCCCCCGTCCCCATCCCTGGCCACTCCGTGGTCTCTGAGGCTGGACCTTCCCGCCTGGTCCACACCTTCTATGGTGTAGTGGAAGATGCTGGACTGGATGTCCAGGGTCAGGCTCCCCCGGGTATTCTGCAGCACCTTGTTCCTGAGGGCCTGGGAGAAGTCCCTGGCCACCGAATCCACCATCGGGAGGAACCGCTGCACAGCCTTGGGTGACAGCACATCCGGGTTCAGCCGCAATCGGTTGAAGCGCCATTCAGGCCCGTTCCTACAGAGGCCAGGGCAGAGCTTGTGATGCCGCCCGGCAAGACACAGGCCCCGACCCGCATCCCATCCCCCTTGTCCCCAGATGGAATCGGCGCCCAGGGAGCTGACTGGGGGCCCTGGAGGATGCTGCCTGCTTCTGTTCCAGCTGTAGCCTTTTCTCAGAGCGGCCTATAGGTGCTGGGCAAAGGCCACTCAGTTCTAAACAGGGGATCAGACAGTAGCTTCTGCCCACAGGTTCTGAGGGGGTAACTGAGGTCATTCCTGGGACCTGATGTCCCAAGGCTGGCACCACCTCACCCATGTGGGCCCTCCCAGTGGTTGGGAGAGGGCTTTTCTCCTAGAAAGGAGGTGACCCCCATTGTAAAGCTTTGCCCACCTCTCCCACACAGTGTCCTGAGGGGAGAGCCCCGCTGCCCTCTCCTCCTTGCCCTTGGCACAGTGCCTCTGGGGCAGCAGCCTCTGCCTATCTCTGTGAAGCATCTGCATCTTCTGCAGGGCAGGAACCAAGCTCTGTGCTTCATACCATCCTTACCCACAGTCACAGTGATGGGGGCTCCACGGATACCCCCAGGGAATGGTGGGGAGGAAGTTCCCCTCTCAGCCACATTCCTGCAAAACTCCTTCATTTATGTCCAACTGGCTGCTGTCAGGTGTTGACAGGGATGACAGGCAGAAGACGCACATGCACAAGTGTGCCCATGCAAGACCTCAACACAAACGTGTAAAGAGACACATGTACACGTGTATGCCCATGCAGGACCTCAACACATGTGTGAAGAGACACATGTACGCCCATGCAGGACCTCAACACATGTGTGTGAAGAGACACGTGTACACATGTGTGCCCATGCAGGCCCTCAATATATGTGTGAAGAGACACATGTACATGTGTGTCCATGCAAGACCTCAACACATGTGTGGAGACACATGTGCACATGTGCAGACACTACACCCATGCCAGCACCTGCCAACGCACACACAGAGACACCGGTGCATACATACCACACATCACACATGCACACACTCAGGCATGCACACATAATTCATGCGGAAATGCAGGTACAGAGAAACACACAGGCACGTGCACAGATGCAAGGCACTCACACACACGGGAGCGCTCCCCTTCCTTCCCATATGTGCACCCAGCCTCCTGGACCTGCCTCCCTGGGTCCTGACTCCCTCCCAGATGTGGTCTGTAGGCCAGCCTCAGTGACGGCCCCCACCCATGGGTGCCCTTTTACCTAAACCCCACTATTCCCAAGAGCATTCCTTTCCTGCTATGGCGTGGGAGCCGTCGCTGCTGTGACATCCTTATCCAGTCCTTCCCCCATCCTAATGGCAACGTCCCTGCAGGTGACCGACTCCAAGCACCAGCCTCTCCCTGCCCACCTGACCAGGCACCACCCTCTCCACAGCCCAGGAAACATCTCCCCAGTGCCATCAATCTCCCCACCTCCTGCCTTGCTTCTGAGAGCAACAGAGCCACCAGCCACCTGCGTCCGCCACATGCCTGCGGGCCAGAACTGTCCCCATCACCAAGATTTGCCAGGACTGCAGGAGCCAAGGGCACCCTACGGGGAGGCTGCAGCCCTGGTGGACACCAGGCTTAGCACACATGGCCTGTGACCTGGGCCGGTGGGAGCCCCCTTCTCGGCGCCTCAGTTTCCTGACTGTGGGAAGGAGAGTCCTCAGCCATAAGAGAAAGCAGCTGCCAAGGTCGGTACAGAGCAGGTTCTCCCTGCACAGAAGGGCTCATTGCTCTGCGTCCCCTCCTCTGCTGAGGTGCCCGTGCCCATTTCTCCACCATCACCCCACTTCCCCAGCTGCAGGACAAATGTGACCCCAGGGGACGGCCATCCTCCAAGCTGGGTGCTCACTCTCACCACCTGCCACACGGGCCCAGGGCGGACGTACTTTCAGCTCCTGCTTCTCTCACTTCCCAGGCTGCCCACCCGACCCCCAGCTCCCAGCTCCCGGCTCGCCCCTCACAGCAAGAACACGCCGCATTTGTGCCCACGGTGTTGTCTGTAGGCCACCCAGGGCTCCAGGCTCATCCGGCGGGGGTGCAGGCTGTCCACCTGCTGCAGCCTCTCCACATCCTCCGGCAGCATCACCCACACCGTGCGTGGTCCTCCCGACTCGGACCTGTGGGGCCAAGCACAAGGCTCTGCTGGACGGGGTCACGTCCTCCCTGGCCCCACCCTGCAGCCCCCATCCAGCAGTCTCCTGTCAGCCTCCCCACTCCTGGATTAGCAGCTTCACAGCTGAAGCCCTCCTGCTGGCTCCCTGGAATCTCTCTACCTTAGTGTCTCTGAGTCCTGCCCTCTCTGCAGTGAGGTGTTTGCTCCACACCATCGCCTGCACTGGCAGAGCCACAGACCAGCACGGGCTGCCCTTCCTCCCCGTCCTC